TGGGGATCCTCAGGGGAGCTGTGTCAGGACACCTTGGGGTGCCTCCTCAGGGGAGGATCACAGCCAGGGGCGTGAGGCAGCCCCCAAGGTGCTCTTGTGCTGGGGAGATCAGGGGCTTTGCCTTTGTATGTCATGTCCAGCCCTCAGGTCCTTTGGAACCACTGACCACTGCCCATCCTACAGGGTGAAACATACCTGGCACTGCCAAACCACTGAGATCTCAAAGTGAAAGTTTCTGAGAGGAATGGAGTAAGAGCGATTATTTAAATAACATTATAATGTAGCATCACCATTTATTCCAGAATGCCTTTCTCAGAAATCAGCACAGGCAGCAAATTCAGAATAAGGGAGCTGAAAGAACAAGTACAAACCAGTGGGGCCAAAATGAAGGAACCTGAGGGAAAGTCAGAGCTGTCAATGAAGTGTCAATGGAGTGAGCTGCGCTGGGAAGGGAAACTGGAACTCACTACCCTGGGGCCAAGCACAGTCCCAGTAGTGACAGTGGCCTGTGGCAGCCCAGCACGGAGGAGTGACAGGACTGTGGCTCATAGATCTGTAATTAATCTGCTAGATCTCTTTGGGACTGGGCTGAGCACTATGCAGGATGAACCCTGGTCTGGGCTAGGGCAGATTATCTGGTGATTTTAAAAAAGAAACAGAAAAAAAAAATCTACATCCACCATGATAAGCTGTTCTAAGATGCAATTAACTAGAAGATTAATTGCCCTTGCTATTAAAAGTGTGTCTCATTTCTAATATGTGTTTGCCCAGCTTCAATTTCCAGCCACTGAATCTAGTTTTACTCGCAAATGCCACTCGAAGGGACTGACAGGCCTGAATCAATGCTGCAGGGAGGTTTGGCCAGGCACAGTGGGGCCCAGCAGTGGGTGTCAGGGGGGATGGAGGGGCCCTCAGTGCTCTGTGGGATTGAGGTCTCAGCCCCTCCTGCCCCTCCTGTGAACCCAGGACTGGAGAACAGGCACCCACATCTGCACTCAGGACTCCAAGGAGCACCCATGGTGTGTATGACCCCCACACCTCCACATCTCCCACTGCCAGGAGTCACTGCAGCCCATCACCCACTCATGGTGCTGCTCTAAATTTCTCTGATTTCTCAAGCTTTCTGAAATACCAACCCAGGGCAGGATGCCCCAGCAGCAGAGAACCCACAGACCTGGAGGGACTGGGCACCTGCCCCAGATGTCTGCGTGCAACACACATTCTGCATAACAAAACCCAAGAACTCAAGAAATATTCCTGCTCTGCATTTGAAACGATGATGTGTGGTATTCATATTTTACAGTGATAATGAAATAGTTTCTATTCCATCAGTAATTAAGGAAGATGCTAAACTGTGTAAGTAACAATTTTTATAATGTGCAGGAGGAGAGCTTACATGCAAGAGTGTTTAATTGGCTAATGAGTTCACTGAACCATTTATTTTTTTCTTTATAACAAACCATGGCACACTGGGGAACTTAAGATTACTGCGGGGGAAAAAATCCTATGTCTTGTCAGTATTTAAATGTGTTCACATGGATATCCAAGAAACTACAGAGCTGTTAGTTCAACATACATCCCAAGCAATCACAAACAAGCAGCCAAAGGGTGTCTGGGGTAAATTAGTAAAAGTTAGAACCCAATTTAATGTAATTTGAAAGAGATACTTTAAATTATTTTATGTAACTTTTTTGTAAGTCTACAAGTCTGATACAGCTAACAAGAGACATGTGGCATGCCTAGACTCCTGTAAGTCATTTGACTTGGTTCTACATGACATTCTGATAAGAAAAATTATCTGTATGCTGCAGTCAGTGTGCTCGGTATTAACAGATCTAAGAGAACTGGGGACTGAGAAGACTTATCCTACACAGCCGTTTGACAAGTGTATTTCTAGCTGTATTCTCTTCACATGTCAATGCTACATTATTAGCAATCAAGGAGATATAAAAAACATTTGCTGATTAAATTATTGGAGTGGATAAAAATGACTTGTTGGGATGGTAAAAGTAACAGGTGGCACTTGCCCAAGACAGCCTGGTGTGGTTTGCTGTGAACAGCCAGGCTTGTTACATTCAAGTATAAGGTGCACCATAAAGAAAGCAGAATGTGGGCTTCACTTTGAATCAGGGACAGCATCCTGGATAGTGACCAGTCAAAAACATTAGAGGTTGTGACATATACCAGCTGAGCAAAGACCACACTGAACCGAGGGCATCGCTGCCCAGCCCAGGCCTCCTCCTGGGCTGTGCAAATGGTCAAGTGATGTGAAATACGAGTCCTGGGGTGCCCGAGTGTTTGTGTGGATCTCACATCCACAACAGAAAAACCCTTACACAGTCACAGCATAAACCCATGTTGCACAGCTGTCCTCCCTCCATCTCCAAGGGATGCACAGGGACCAGTAAAGGCCCAGGGGAAGCCTGTGTATGTGGCAGGGGTTGGGTGGCAGCTTCCACACAGGAACAGCACAGCTGAATAGAATTCTAGCCTGAGTAAGGAGAGAAATGGCAGGGATCTGTATAGTTTTGAGAAGTATGATGAAGAGGAACAGACAATAGTTGCCCACATATTCATAGGAAACAGGAGTTTAAGGGCAACAAATGAAACATGATGATGACAGCAGAAAGATAAACAAAAGGAGGTGATTAACACACTGTGCAATTTCGTTCTCCTTGCCATAAGGTCATCAGAATGCTCAAAAATACATAGGCCCAAAAAGTGACTGGTTAAATTTATGCCAGAAGAAAATAAATCTCTCCATGACCAGTAAATACAAAGATGCCTTTTTGACTCAAAAGTACCTACAATACAGATTACAAGCTCAGGGTGGGGAGAAACATGCTGGGGAAGGGTTTATCTCTACTTGCTTTGTCCATTGCCCTTCTGTAAGTACTGTTATGGGTACTAGTCCTCCCATTATGGCCCGTCATGCTCTGTACTGAGGAACAGGAAAAGTCAAGTAAGAGTCAAGCAAGGGCTCGAGGCTGGCAGGGAGGTGCTGCAGGGAGGTGCTGATGCTGTTAGTCTGTCAGAATTGGATACCAGGGACAGGAAGTGCTTTGGCTGCACAGGGAGGGTCAGAGCAGGATTCAGTGGCTGCAGCTGGGATGGAAACTTCTGCCTAGAACTGGGATGACTTTTTTCCCTGAGCACATCACTCAGATGGCTGCACGGAGAATGCAGCGATGGACTTGTGCCTCTCCAGCCAGTCCCAAAGGTGCCTCTTGCTGTGACTGCTCTGCTGACAAACCCAGGTGCATGCTGAAGCAGGAGCAGCAGCCTGTGTCTGAGACATCTAGCAGTGTCCTGGGTTTTTACCTGTGCCTGTGGCAGCTGGTAAAAACACACTAGAACCACATGTCCCTGTGCTAGCAAATCCACATGCTCGCTGTCCTCACTGGAGACTGCAGCCCTCCTCCTCAGGATGGTTAAATTTCCCTGGAAAAACTGTCCCAGCAAGTACATCCAATGATACATTAGGAATTTTCCCTTCAGAAACCTGAGAAAATAGCAGAGCTTGTTAAATTGCCAGAATGTGCTCTGGAACATTAAACCTTTTTAAGTCTGTTCTTGTAAATGTTTTTGAAAATCAATTGCTAATCAATTAGCATAACTGAGTTAAACTCAGAGCATTTGCTCTCAGCCTGCACTTAACTTGAACCTTTCTGATTGTTTCAGTTCAGAAAAAGGGCTGAAGTGCCCAGCTTTTCTGGTAGGTTGGTTTGATTTGGTTTGGTTTGGTTTGGATTTTAACCCTTAGTTACCTCAGTCACTCTGTAAAAGGTTCTCCCCTTTTTCCTACCAGCCTCACATTCCTTGAAGATGGTTACCCGGCAGCATCCTTACACACAATGAACTTGTGCCCTTTCAATTTCAGTGGGAACACAGACAAAATTCAGTCTATGAAAATTTGTGCCCAGGGATGGACTGTCCCTCTCAGCCACCTGCCTGACCTTAGCCCTCCCATGCATGCTGGGACATCCTGCCTACAAACCTGGTGGCTCTGAGAGGAGCCCTGGAAACACACCTGCAGCTCCACACAGGTCCTTTGCTGCAGCAGGTGCTCATCTGGGCCACACCACCTTTGTCCAAGGAGGACTAGGCTGTGCCAGGAGCTGGTCTGCCTGCATGTGCAGGGTCTCTGCATTCTCCTGCATTTGCAGAAACCAAACCCTGCGGGTTCACCTGCTCCCATCAGAGCTGCTCTCATGACCCAGTGCAGAGCAGCCTCAAAGCTGGCAAAACCAACCAGCAACACCTGAGGAATGGCTGAAGCCTAATAGCCTCAAGAAAACTACAAAATAAAGCAAACCCTTAAATCCAACCCTTCCCTGCCCTTAAGGTGATATTATTCTAGTGGATGAGCACCCATTACTGCAGGCATGGGGACAGTCCAAGTGTACTGTCTGCAGGCTGCCTTCAGACCAGGACATCTGGTCAGGCTAAGGCAGTCCAGGACTGTGCTGCCACCAAAAGGGATAGACCCTCCTGCTTCTGTTCCTCCTCCAGCCACAAACATAATCTAAAAATGAACTCTCTACAGTGGCGATTAGACTTTGGGAATAAGACCACCATGCCTGATGCCATAAACAGATCACCTGAGCAGACAAGCCAGCT